CCAATTTGTCATTATTCAAATATCCTGAACTGATTCACTACTGAGTCTGTAAGCAACTCTATGAGTCTGTTAGGGCTTTTTGTATTTACCTGAGATATGGAGCCTTCTATGATCGGCCTGGTCGTCTGCACCATTTCAGGAGTCTTGCGACTCTCCTGGCTCAATAGGTCCTGTCTTGGGATTTCATGGATAGAACGACCCATCTCTTTTATAGTAGTGACTCCATCATATGGTTTCCCCTTAGTAATGGCTCCTTCAAATGTCCTTATGGGGGGTGACTCTCTCTTTATCTGTTTAGGGTATTTCAAGCCTTCTTCAAAACTTTCAGCTGTTGCTCTTGGTGTGCCTTTTACAGAAAAAGAAGGGCCACACTACTGGTCACATCGCTAAGTCTCTTTTTTTCATAAACAGAGTAACTAACTACATGTCATAATACTGGAACTTTGGTTTCCTATAGTCTATGGTAATATATTCAGAAGACTAAAAAATCACCACAAAAATAATACTGAATATTTAGTATATCACTGAAAGATCTCAAGTTATTTCAGATGCTGAAATAAAGGAAATAGCGTATATCTTCAGAGGTCTGGCGAATTGTTAGTGTTCCGTAAAAGAAAAAAAAAAGTGCTAAATACAAAGTATTCATCCTAAAAAATGTCTGCTTTCCAAAAAGAAATAAAATGCTATGTTTACACACCAGCTTTGTACACAGCATATCAGAAAGCTGCTGATTTATGCTCTGAAAACATGTTTAATAAAATAAGCTACACCTTTAACACAGCTACCATTGCTAATAACAGTTTTAAAATTCAGAAATCCAGATTTTTGAGGATGTAATTAATGCTTGCCTTTTAAACTTGCAATACTTTACCTTGCATTATAGAGCCAGACAGCACTGTTCTCTCTTTTATTTCAGCATGTGGGCTACCCCTAGGCAGTGCACGGCATATTAAACCTAAAATTAAAATGAACATAATTTAGAGAATTAAGCAAGTGTTCAAAAAAAAAACAAACCCCAAAACCAAACCCCCTCCCTCCTTCTTACATACATTAGATACTATCTGTATCGCGGCAGTGCCCAGAGGGCCTAGCCTCAATATGCCAGGAATTGTAACAACATGTTGTAAACACCATTGCTGCCCTAAAAAAATTTTTTTCAATCCAAGTATTCGTGCTATTACATTGTTGCAAGTTTTAACTTATTTAGAAAACACAAGGTATTTTTTGTAATTAAGCTTAATTCCTGTCCCAAAAGCATTCACTGCTTCTCTTATGTTCCACTTCAGTTTCCTTACCTAGTACAGAAAGGTGTTCATGATGAGAAGTGGAACAAAAAGAAAAAAAACATCCCAAAATATACCTTGACATCCTCCAAATTAATCAAAGTTTATATTGAATCATCTGGGAAGAGCTGAATTCACTGTTCCTACAGTAGGAATCTAAATCAAAGCCCCAAAGCACTCAATTTTCCACAGTTTGAGGACAGAAAATGTGTCAGAGTGACAAGATACAGCATAAAAGTATGGGGAGCAGCTTCTCATATGCCAAGAGCCCGAAGATGAGCCAAATGCTTCAGCAAATGAAAGGCAATACTGAATTTCTATATACAGTCTAGAAACCTCTTATTGATACTGTTCCACCTGATGAAAATGTACACAAATTAGCCTTTAAGGGCTACCCAAAGATGGGACAAAATGCACTTACGGAGTAAGACTCCATAGTTTAGGCATAAAATATTTTCTAGCATTTCTATTTTTAAAAAACTATCAGAAAAGCTATATAATGGCCTGGCTTGACTGTTGCAGGCTTAGTTTGATTAGTTTATTAAATAAAAATAATACTAGTGATGCCCTGAAGCAGGATACAGAAGCAAGTCTTCTGCTTGGCATAATCAAAGATGTTTATTGCAGGAATG